CCCTAGCGACCAAAACCTACAACAGAAATTGAGGAAGAATATTGAAAATGAAAACTGAATACACATTTGGATAGCTGATAAATCCACTTATGTGTAATATGCATACATTAATTTTAAATCTCCTCTCCAACATTGCCTAATAAAAAAAAAAAACATCACCAGACTCTGTAATATTGAGAAACTACCCTACAACCTTCACACACAGTGAGAACCCCTCATCTAACATTCACTAGAATAAAAATCACACCTTCAACATAAACTTGCAAGGAGAAAGTTCCTTTCTAACAGCTAGAAATTCTCTACAGAACCCAATTACTATTTTATCTTATCATTGACAATTGTCTCTCCAACATTCTTTATGAAGACCACTCTCATTAATAATCTCTAACAGTAAGATTCCCTCCCCAACAATCTCTGGAATACAGTGCTCAAAAGATTGCATACCCTTGGAGAATTGGAAATATATGTACCATTTAAAAAAAAAAAAAAAAACATGAGTGAGCAGGCAAAACACATTTCTTTTATTTCTTATGGGATTCATATTCAACTGTAGGTTATAAAAGAATGTCAAATCATAAAACAAAACATGGCAACAAGGAAAAAAATAAATGACCCCTGTTCAAAAACCTGTATACCCTTAGTTCTTAATATTGTGTATAACCTCCTTTAGCATCAATGACAGAGTGCAATATTTTGTAATAGTTGTCTATGCGGCCCCTAATTCTTGTAGGTGGTATAGCTGCCCATGTGTCTTGGCAAAATGCCTTCAGGTCATGCAAAGTTGTTGGTCGTCTTGCATGAACCACACATTTGTGATCTCACAGAGTGGCTCAATGATATTAAGGTCAGGAGACTGAGATGGCCATTCTAGAACCTTCACGTTTTTCTGCTGTAACCACTGGAGGGCCAACTTGGCTTTGTGCTTAGGGTATTTGTCATGCTGGAAAGTCCAAGAGCGTCCCATGTGCAGCCTTTGTGCAGAAGAATGCAAATTATCTGCCAGTATTTTCTAATAACATGCTGCATTCATCTTACCATCTATTATCACAAGATTCCCCATGCCTTTAGAGCTCACACTCTCCCATAACATCAGTGAGCCACCACCATGCTTCACAGTGGGGATGATATTCTTTTCAATATAGGCCTTGTTGAACCCTCTATAAAAATAGCACTTCTGGTTGTGATCATAAAGCTCTATTTTGGTCTTGTCACTCCAAATTACAGTGTGCCAGAATCTGTGAGGCGTGTCAAGGTGTTGTCGGGCATATTCTAACATGGCGTATTGTAACAGGGCTTTTTTGTGGCATTGGTGCAGTAAAGGCTTCTGTAACGGCACTCCCAGGCATAAAAGG